CCGATAGTGTAAAAACACGAACGCTTCGTTTGGCTGATATCAGCAAATAAAATGTTTGGGTAAAATAATCGGTCCACCGCCTTCACGATATTGAAGGAATGACGAATGCATAGCGCAACCGCCTATCTCAACGCTTTACTAATAGATCTGAGAAAACCCAGCAGATACGTCTAGTATTATTTTGTAGCCCCTAATAGCCTTTAGTCGAAGACTTCTGAGGTATTTCAACAATTGTAGGCATCCCCGCATCCCAAATATCGCTTCTGCAACTTTTAGAACTCATGGTCAGCCCCGACTCCGCTGAATTCAATTTAATGGAGAGCTTTTGAGATTCCCCAGCTCTGCAAAAAACAACCACAAGGGCTCCTACATATGCAATAGTTCCAGCGCAGATAAAAAAAAAGAGAACATTTGCATACTTACCGCAAGCGTGTGAGGCGGAAGTGATGTAATGGCAGAATATGTGAATGGTCTCATGTACAGAAACCCATGCTAGACAAGCCCGTCATAGTGATAGTTATACTGCCTTTTCAGCATGTATTGGCATTATCTCGCTGCCAATAACTACTGAATTGACAAAGACACATCAAAAATAGGGTACACTGTGGAGTTATGTTGTTGTATGGTGGCGCAGTGCTCGTGTACGCATTGCTCCATCCCGACTCATTACATCTGAAATGAACTGCGGTCCACTGGAAAAGGGTTTTGTGAGGTTAGAGATCGAAGGAGGAGATACCTGGTCGAAAGGCAGGCGTATTTCAAGGGTGCCGAACGACGCGCATTTTGCAGCGAAGACTATGTCCCAGCGGCTTAGCAGGGTCACACCCGCGTCGCTCGCACCGCTGCCCGCCGTCTGACTTCTGCCCTTCAGCAGAGAGAGCGTTACTGTTGAAGAGAATAGCACCAATGAGAGTCACATCGATACGGATATTAATGAGCAAAAGAGCGTTTCTGTTTCTCGGGTTCTGGGCCGTTTCGCAGCTCTATGCTCTTTACCCCTACACCACTGACTACCTAAACCTCCACTTCTAATAATCTGCCTTTTCATCTTAAACCCCGCCTTTAAAGACACAAGCTGCGGGTGACTTCAGCAGAGCCATAGCGGAATGCGTAGGTTTGTATGTGACCTTTTTTTCCCCACAAAAATTCAACAAATTTCAAAAACAAGTAAAGAAAGTAAGAGAACATAACTGCTGCACGGTTGCGTATAGTACACCTTCTTAGCCTGCACCCCTTCCATATTTTACAAACATCCCACGACTTCACACATGACTAAGCGCCAACGACCTCTCCATCTTAACCACAGGCCACAAACTGAGACCAGTTCAATCTTTGCAGCAGTTGAACGAACTCGAGAAGAAGATTGCTCCATACGATTTGTCAGAGTCTCAAAAGCGATAGGTTCATGTGAACTGCATAATAAAGCTGCAAAAGAAAAAAATAGTAAGAAATTAGGGTGCCAGTTCAACTGAGGGGTAGTACACAGTAACACAGCAAAGGTTTCGGAGGAGCCTTTAGTGTAAAGCTTAGCCGGGAATTTCTAGATATTGTACATCTGACTTCCAAACCTATACAAAATGATTCGTTTTTGAAACACTATTTACCAGCTATCCAGCTGCATGATGTGCTAGAGTTTCAAGTGAATCCAACGTTTTTTTTTTGGTTGCACAAAACTGCTGAGTTGTAGACCAAACTCTTCCTCCCATGAGGGATTCGAACCCACACCTCTCGTTTTACAGACAAGTGTGCTACGTGTCACACTACCGGGGAACCTTTCCATCTTTCTTTTGACTTCTCTGAATCGTATATTCAGCAAATCTTTTCTGTTTTGAGGTAGCTTTCCAGAAATTTTACTGCAGAGAGAACACTTCTGTCCCTATTATAGCAAAGGACTACAACTTTCACCTCTTTCAGAATACTATTGTAAAAACAATCAGGTGTACTTTTCGTACCTATACAGACTATTGAGAGGGTATCAGCGAATTTCGCAAGAGGGAAGCTTCGAAAGAGAATTCAAAAAGCCTAAGTGGAATAATACTCACCAGTAGCGTACATCCGTCAACGGCATGAAATGCACACCAAGAAGACGATCCCACAACACTCCCTTTGACCAGAGCTCGATTATCATTCCCTCATCGAGGCGATTCGTTTCACTAAACATATTCATTACTATCGATTTATGTCATAATGGCATGTTTGGTAATTTTGAAGAAAAATTCGTTAAAATTGCATCACTGTACCAAATAGACCAAAAGCGAGGTACGGCGCCCCTACGATGAAGAGTACTGCCGGGTCAGTTCTTGCGGGGCCGGAATGCCAACCCAACAAAGCAGTTTGATTTATTTTTGAGCGAATCATCACCATCATTTTTTTTCAGACAGTTCAACTTCGCTTACCTCGCAAACCAACAAACTGATATATTCTTTAATTTACTATAACATATTATGAGTTAGCCAGTTATAGTTTTTCAAAAACTAACTAACCACCAATTAGAAATTATTTCTCAAGCGACAATCAAAATTATGCAGTAAGTCACATGTATAAGCATGCAACATTTATCATTCTTCTTTGGAGACTTTAACGATTGAAAAATACAAAAATTATAAAATATTCGGAAAATGACAGACAGAGAAAACTTTTTTTACGATCCGTGTTACTCCTTATCTGAGGCCGGCCCCGGAATTAGACCAGTGAAGTAATCACATTGTTAGGACAGAGCTGTTGCAAAGTTGAGCCGCTTAGACACCTACAAAGGGGCGAGATAGACTATAGAGCCTTGGCCACCCTCCCGATTAGTGGGCATGAGTGGTATCTCTGTCGTTCGCTGTGCGGTGGCCGTGTGTCTGCGCCCTCTCATCCATCGTGCTCTTTCGCAAATTCTCGCTTCTCTGCGCGCTGTGTCTTTCCGTTCTACCACGGCAGGCTCTAGAGGAAGTTTAGGCTCTAGAGGAAGTTTAAGCCTGCACTTTTAGTATCCTGTTCGCATACTTGGCTTTCTTCTTGATTTCTAGTCCACTCCGCTCCTCCACATTCATTAATGAACGTCCTTTCATACCAACTTTATCCTGTACCTTGAATACTTGATGATAATGACCTGTGCCTTCGATAGCATCCTTATAGAAATAAATATCAGATATAGAACGAAGATTACCCTTTTTAATGTGGAAATTGTCGGTATAAAATGAAAAAGTGCTTACAAGATGAACTCCTGTTCCCAACATGGAATG